AAAAGCATGTATCAAATGCAAGAAATATTATTTTTATTATTATTAAATCACACTATTGTGGATTTCCAATAAATCTTCATTTTGGTGTATTAACTAACAATCATTTTTAAGTTGATGAATCATATTCATCCTGCTGAATGTTTACACTCTTTAGATATCACGTCCAATTGCTGAAAGAATGTGCAGGGGTTTCATTTTATGGGCCACTAGCACCAGTATTGGGGGAAGAGGGAGCTATTCAAAACTAAAAACAATAATAAATTGGTCATTTTCAATCTACGACTGTTTGTGGGACATTGCTGTGCGCAATTGGCTGCCGCGTTTGCCCACAAATATACAGTCAATTCACTTTACAGTGTATTCTGTGAAGCGCTTTGGGACGTCCTCCCGACGTGAAAAGCGCTATATCAAATGCAAGGATTATTTTATTATTATTATTCCATAGAGATGGGCTCCACCTAAACCGGACTGGGACCAATGTCCTGGCAAAACGAATAAATAGGGAGGAAGGCAGAGCTTTGAACAACTAAGGGGTGGGGGGGGGGGGGGGGGGAAGCTACGGCTACAGTTAGTAGCAAACCAGCTGAAACTAAGAAAAATGAAAGTGGTAGAGGAGATTAGCGAGGGAGATAAACAGTGTGTCTGTGAGGGACAAGAAGCTCAGAAAAGAAAATAGGGCATTAGCGAGTAGGGGAAATAGCAAGAAGTCAAAATTAAAGGCGCTATATCTGAATGCACAAAGCTTTCGTAATAAGATAGATGAATTAATGGCACAAATAGAAACAAATGGGTATGATCTAATAGCCATTACTGAGACATAGTTACAGGGGGATCATGGGTGGGAGCTAAATATTCCAGGATATTCAGCATATAGAAAACATAGACAACATGGAAAACTAGGCTAATAAAGGATGGGATAAAAACAGTAGAGAGGAAGGATTTTAAATCAGAAAATCAGGATGTAGAGGCAGTATGGGTGGAATTACGAAATAACAAGGGGCAGAAAACACTAGTGGGAGTAGTTTATAGACCCCCGAACAGCAGTCATAGTATTGCACAGTATTAACCAGGAAATCAGAGAAGCATGTAGCAAAGGAAATACACTAATAGTGGATGATTTTAATCTTCATATAGATTGGGAAAACCAAATTGGCAAAATTGTATAGAATACATTAGAGACAGTTTCTAGATCAGTATGCTGAGGAACCAACCAGGGAACAGGCGATCCTATATCCTGTTTTATGTAATGAAATAGGGCTAATCAGCAATCTGGAAGTTAAGGCTCCTCTAGGGCAGAGTGACCATAACATGATGGAATTTAGCATTACGTTAGAGAGTGATGTAGTTAAGTCCAAAGCAAGAGTCTTAAACTTAAATAGAGCCAACTTTGCAGGTATGAGAGAAGATTTAGCTAAAATAGACTGGGGAATTAGATTAAAGGATATGACAGTAGACCAGCAATGGCAAACCTTTAAAGATATAGTACATAATTCCCAGCGATCACATATTCCCTTGAGGAATAAAAATACCACGGGAAAAGTGGTTCAACCATGGCTAACTAGAACAGTTAGGGAAAGTATAAAATTAAAAGAAGAGACCTATAATACTGCCAAAAAGAGCAGTAATCCCAAGGATTGGGAGGGCTTCAGAGACCAACAAAGAAAGCCAACAACAAAATTACATTTATAGATCGTCTTTCACGTCGAGAGGACATCCCAAAGTGCTGAGACTAAGACTAAGAAACTGATTAGGAGGGAGAAAATGGATTATGAGGGCAAACTAGCTAGGAACATAAAAACAGACTGCAAGAGGAAGAGACTAACAAAAGTGAATGTGGGTCCAATACAGGCAGAGACAAGAGGAATTATAATGGGGGATAAAGATATGGCAGAGTCATTAAACAGATACTTTGCTTCTGTCTTCACGTTAGAAGACACTGAAAACTTACCAAAAATAGAGGGGAACCAAGAAGCTAATGTTAGTGAGCAACTTAGAGAAATTAACATCAGTAAAGAATTAGTACAAGGGAAACTGTTGGGATTGAAAAATGACAAATCCCCTGGACCTGATGGCCTGCATCCTAGGGTTTTAAAAGAGGTGGCTGCTGAGATAGTGGAGACCTTGTTTTTGATCTTCCAAAATTCTCTGGATTCTAGAACGGTTCCCATTGATTGTAAGATTACAAACGTAACATCACTATTTAAGAAGGGTGCGACAGAGAAGATGGTAACCATAGACCAGTTTGACATCGGTGGTAGGGAAAATTCTAGAATCCTTAATTAGGGACGTTGTAGTGGGGGTACTTAGAGGACCGTAACATGATTAGGCAGAGTACAAAAGGGAAGTCATGTCTTTACAAAAGGGAAGTCATCCTTAACAGTTGTTTGAAGAGCTTTTTGAAGCGATATAACAGATAGGGGGAACCAGTAGATGTAGTATATTTAGATTTTCAGAAGGCATTCGACAAGGTGTCACATAAAAGGCTGCTACACAAGATTAGGGCACATGGAATTAAAGGCAATATATTAGCATGGATCGAAGAGTGGCTAATGGGAAGAAAACAGAGAGTAGGGATAAACGGGTCCTTCTCAGATTGGCGGGATGTGACTAGTGGAGTGCCACAAGGATCATTGCTTGGGACTCAACTATTTACAATCTATATCAATGATCTAGATGAGGACATAGATCTTAAAATATCTAAATTCGTGGATGATACTAAGCTAGGTGGGAAAGTAAGCTCCAAGGATGTCACAAAAAGATTGCAAAGGGATATAGATAGGCTAGGTGAGTGGGCAAGAAGATGGCAGATGGAATATAATGTGGGGAAGTGTGAAGTTATTCATCACCTAGGTAGTAAAAACAGAAAAGCAGATTATTTTCTAGAAGGGGAGAGACTAGATAGCGTTAGTGTTCAGAGGGATTTGGGTGTCCTTGTACACCAGTCACAAAAAGTTAGTGTGCAGGTACAGCAAGCAACTAGGAAGACTAATGGCATGTTGGCGTTTATTGCAAAATTAGAATATAAGAGTAGGAAAGTCTTACTGAAATTGTATAGGGCCTTGGTGAGACCACACCTAGAATATTGTGTGCAGTTTTGGTCTCCTTATTTAAGAAAGGACATACTCACCTTAGAGGGGGTGCAGCGTAGATTCACAAGGTTAGTTCCTTAGGATGAGGCGGTTGACCTATGCGGATATGTTGAGTAAACTAGGCCTATATTCTCTAGAATATAGAATTAGGGGTGATTTTACAGAAACATATAAGATTCTTATGGGGCTTGACAGAGTAGACAGTGCAAGACTATTTCCACTGGTTGGAGAATCTAGAACTAGGGATCACAGTCTTAAGATTAAGGGACAGCCCTTTCGAACAGAGTTGAGGAAACACTTCTTCACTCAGAGGATAGTGAATTTATGGAATTCTCTACCCCAGAAGGCTATAGATGCTCAGTCCTTGAACATATTCAAGACTGAGATAGATTTCTAAAGGATAGAGGGATTAAGGGATATGGGGATAAGACGGGCAGATGGAGTTAGGTTAGAAGATCAGCCATGATCTTATTGAATGGCGGGGGAAGGCTCGAGGGGCCAAATGGCCTACTTCTGCTCCTAATTCCTATGTTCCTATGCCTTGAATCTCACCAAGAGTTATAATTAGACAATAGAGGTGGTAAGCAGGACACGATGTTCTCGTTCTTATTCTTAGACCAGTGATGTACTATAAAAAGTGACATTTGCTAAATATTAATTTGAAAAATATTTTGTTCCCAGTTATACTCTGAACATTTGAATGGGCTGTGAATACATTTGAGAGGCAAATTCTTGTGTGACAGATGATATATTTCTGTAAATTATCTTCTGTACTAATAAAACAATGTCTGTCTGTGCTTCAAGAAGGATCTCAATAACTGATTGACGTAGAGACACGATTTATACCTCATCTGAAAGATCTTGCAACTGGGAGTGACATGATCATATTTGTTTTCGGGTATCTCCTATCGTTCATGAGTTATTTTCAGTTTTGCATTTTGCGCTGTGGCATTGTGTGGACTACGTATGTTCACAGGCACTGCAGTTACATCTGGTGGCTGCGCCGACTGACTGTGGCGCTGTGCTATCCTGCGTCACAGAGTGCGTACGTAGCCAAGTAGTGGGAACAACATAAAGAACACAGATGAAGCTAAGTCGGGGCATCAACAACAAAATTGTATTTTTAAAGCACTGAGTCTCCCAAAAGGAGTCCTCCCAGATGAGTATAAAGATGAAATGTCTGTCTGTGCGTCAATCTACATTCCATATTGCATCCTTTGGTTGCAAGCGAAGCTGCAATGGGTACAGATAATAATTCAATAAGTCTTTTGAAGAAGTTTTATCAAACAGCTGGAAAAAGGAGGATTCATGTTCAAAAAGGCAGAACAATTTCATACGCTAAAGGATATTGCTACTGAGTACGACTATGTACTAAGAATCATATTAATGAATGTCATGTTGCTCAATATAATAAAATGTTGTCCAATATAAATGAATGTGAGCATACCATGTATTTAGAACATTCTTTGAAGTGTAAATTTTTACATTTAGTACACTGAATGTTTAAATTATTAATAATCCTTGCCTTATCGCATCATTGAAACATCTCAAGGCAGTTCACAGAATTTTACAGTAAAGTGTAGTGACTTCAGTTTAACTTCTCATCTGAAGGTCGGCACCTCCAACAATTCAGCACTCCTCAGCACTGGAACGTCAGCCTAAACAATGAGTTCAAAGTCCTGATGTGGGGCTTGAACTCACCACCTTTAGACTCGGAGGTGCGATGCAGCCAACTGAGCTAGGCTAACAACTAAACTGTGGATGGACACATACAGAACAAAATCTGTATGCACTGCTCAAAGGGGTATACGTTATAATTGAAATGAGCGCTTTCATGGTAAATGCAAGTGTTGTTTCGGAGAGTTCATATCATTGATCGCATTATTAAACAGAATATGACATAGTCAAGTATTTATGCCTTTACCACTTTTATTTCACCATGAAGAAACATACATTCAACATTTAATACATTGCAGCAGAACATCTGATGAAGTACTGTACCCTACAATTAGCTGTACGAACTTTGTAAATCATAAACGCTTCATAATTTCAAAGCTTCCAATGGAGAGTTGCTGTTAGTTTATGTTCAGTTTAAGGCTTTGCTCTGAATCTGGAGTCTAAGCAGAGTATTTGGGAAGAATCAATGCTGTCATTGTCAGTGATGAAAAATAGAGGTCGCAGGTAGTAAGTGGGGAGAATCCTTCTCGAGAAGTCACATTCACAAGCAACAGAAAATGAGCAAAATCGGCTCGGTTTGAAAAAAATATACTGACACCTCTTCTATGGGAAAGTCAACATCCACAAGTAATCGTGAGCTAGTCTACCTGGACTTCTGGTTCTAACATAAAAGAATGTGCTCATCTAACAAAACCAGTCCTTCAAGTAAAATATATATATATATATATATTTTGTTTTAAAAAAAATGTTAGGTGACATCAAATTATGCTGACAACACACAAAACGCAGCAAAACAATTCCTTCTAAAATGGTTAAGGTTATTCATGTTTTTCACAGGCATTGCCATTGAATATCAAGGTTTCCAGTTATAAGCTTCAAGTTGCTTTGTATTATAATAGATATGGGCTTATACTGTTATTGGCACATCTACTGTAAGTTATGACATATCCCTCATGTTACAATTACGCTTTTTTTCTCACCAACCTTGGAGTGATAGTTACTCACTTCTAAACCAAAAACTATCAAAATGAACGACAACCAACTCATTCCTCTTTCTATCTTGCTCAGCTTTTTTTTAAATTACATACTGTCAAAGGCTGGATTATTCCCTCCAATTCTTTAAATAATTTTTTGTACCAGTGATCTTTTATTCTTTGCGTGCAGATAAAACAATAACCTAAATGACGTGAAAGATTCTACTGTGGATTTGGAAAATGCGGGGGTTCATTTTTGTGATAAGTTTATTCTAGTCATGCAATATTCATCTGCTGCTCATATGTATATTCTGGAATGGAAAGGCTTATGCCAATGTCCTTATTTAGTGAGGGCGAAATGTGGTCCTCGTATCAACGTGCTCCAGTATGATGTGAAAGGTCATTAGTGGATGTATTCAGGACAAACAAAGTCATGTGCATGACTCCATTTAGACTCCAAAATCATTCCTAATGATGTGTATGTGTTACTTCTTTTGTGAAGATGTGGTTAATCCTAGGAACAGAGAAGAAAAATCAAATGAGAAAACCATTAGTCATTCAGGTTAATGTGTCTCATTACCAGCGGTGCTGTGGACACAGTGTTAAAATGCATCTAGTGCACATTTTTGCATTGATTTTTTTCCATCCAATCAGCAGATAGACAAAATATAGCACTGACTTGTTGGATTTACAACTTCAGTAGAACAGAATAAAGTACATTATAATCAAACATGTGATCAAAAAGAGAAACAATAAAATTGTACATTTCCTACACGCATCCATAGCAGCAAAATGCAGTGTTTCCAATGGCAGCATTGTCAGGCAGCCAGAAAAAAAATCAAAGCCAAAAAAGCAAGAAGTTGCAATTTATCTTTAAAATGGAGCTGAACATTAGATTATTTCTGTGCAATGATGGTATCTTCCATTATTATTTATAACGCAATCCAATATATTGCATTGCTCATTTAATGAATTTGGAGGTGAATGGTTTGGGATGTTTTGGACACTTAAAACTTTCTTTTTGTGATTATTAAAAAACGAACAACAGGCTATTCCAGGCAAGTCATTTTCTGCACAGTGCAGCCAATTCATTGTGTGCTAACCTGATATCAGAGACAATACTGATGCACAGAACAATCCTTCACTAAAGTTAAAAATTGATAGCTAGATTTTTTTTGAATTGGATATAAAAATATTGTTGGAATCCTCATGAGGATCGACACATAGAACAAGTGACCTTGAATCTATTTTGAATTTAGGTGAATCAGACATGTGGGTTTTCAGAGCAGCATTAAGTATTGTGTAAAAGAACTTAAGTGAAAAGTGTATACAATTACCATACCTCAAATAGAATACATCAATGAGAGCTAACCACTGATTTCTCGGTGTGTTTCCCAAGTACAAATGTAACCAAAGAACATGGGAGTAACACTGAGAAACTAATATCTCTCCAGTAAGGTTTACTTGTGTTCCCAGACAAAAAAAGAAAAGGTTTCAACAAACATGAAATGATTTAGCACATGCAGAAGCACAACAGGAGAAGACAAGACATGGATGAAATTATGGAGGATATGGGAAATAGTCTTTCTTCAAACAACCAGAAGCAGGCACACCGTCACTCTCTAACCCATAGTCATCTCTTGCATAAATATAAAGTGGAGTATGTCAATCCATACCTGCATCAAGTAATATGCTTATCATACACCTACAGGAAAGTTATTTTAATTGTAGAAAATTCCACCATTCCAGATCACTTTCTCTCCTGAACCCTTCAAAATACACAGGTCTATGAAGCGCTCTGAGCCATCCCCCCGACGTGAAAGTCTTTATAGCAAATGTAAGGATTATTATTATTATCCTCCTCAAGTCCACAAAATGGGACAGTATTAGCTACAAATGATTCCATAACCACTGTCGTAGCTTTGTTTCTGTAATCTTCACCATTACACGCCAAAATACAAGCAAGTTAAAAAAAATTTTTTTTAAAAATTGTTTTCTCTGCACTTGCTGTGTTCCTTTCTTTTAAAAATGTTAACTTTAACTATCTTCTACTTTTATTTACCTAATCTATTCTTCACCGCTCCCCCTACCCATCCTTCTACCCGTAAAACTACCCTGTTACCTCTTTCTTTATTCCAGCTCCAACGTTCCATTTTGAAAGGTGGGAGCAATGTTTTAAAAATTCGTCATTGGCTGAAAACCACCTTGAAGGATCAATTCTGGTCAAAGATTGAAGATTGACAGGATGGTAAATCACTAGCCAAACGTTGTGTCCTGACATGGTGCCCTCAGGCTCAATGTTCACATAATATTAAATTAGCTAGTCTAATACTTTGAGGAAACCTTACTTCCCAAGCACCTGATGTGTTAGTAGTAGAGCATCTAAAAGCACGTTCCTTATGGGTTATAGAGGTAAAGCTGCAAATAAAACCACATGTGTGGAGAACGCTACTTTGCTGCATACCAATTTGTAAATGCCAGGCTGATGCTTTTGTTCTTACCTGCGATCAATCATCCCCGTCCTCTGGCGTGATCTCTGTCTCTTTGTGTACCACTACTTTGGTCACAGACATATCAGGGTGCTGCTCTTTGGCCTCTTTAATTGCCTGAGCCAGGGCCTAACCCAAAGAAAGCCCCCGAGGTATAAAAACAGTAGGTGGGACATGCATGATCAGAAGCAGGATGGAGAATTATGATGAGTTTTTCATCAATTACTTTCTTGGTGGAAATGATTAAAAGAAAATTTTAAAATCTCTACTTAAAGGAGTGGTATGTCATTCATTTTTATGTTACATCATTGATGGCTTATTTCTTTAACCTTACTCTCGTTCCTCTGTTAGGGCCCAGATTTAATACTTGGGGTAGCGGACACTGAAAGAGCCAGTTCCACCTGCTTCTGTGCTGACCAGGGTACTATGGCCAACAACAGTGAGTTTATGGCTTGTGTTGCTTGCGCAATTTTAATTTTAAATTAAATTGTATTTTAAAATGTTTATTTATCTAATCTATTCTTCACAACAATATTGTTGCTAAATATTGCTAAATCATTTCATGCTTGTTGAAATTTAAATTTAAATTCTGGGAGCGGTGTTCAGACTGCGAGATCTCGATCTTCTTGAATCACCAATGAGAATAGATGGCAAGTCCAGCAGGGCTCATGAGCAGTTCCAACACCAACATAGAACACCTTAATGGAACTGTGATTTTTTTTCATTAAAAAAGTTTGCAACTAGTCCTTTCTGTTGTACACTGTTCGCTGTAGAGTCCTTCCATCAGCAATCCTACCATACAGTAATGCCACAAAATGCCATACGACTCCTTTAACTTGAAAACACAATCACTGAATTCATTATAAAAGCATGCAGATTTAAACTTGCTTACTTTTAGTAGTTTCTGAACATACTAGTTTTTTTAATATAAAAATGCAATTCACTTGCAATATTACTTAGAAACCCATCTGATGCAATAGCATCAACAATAAAGTGCCACCGTACCTGATCATGGTCAATATCAGCATCCCCAGTAATGACGATTCGTTTCTCAATGCGTGTCTCTGAAACACCCCCTTTCACAGTCTGCAAACATGAAGTTGAGGATGGTTAATTGCTTATAATTTCTATAAAAAAATCAGAAATTGGTGTTCTGCCAGTTCTGATGAAAGGTCATCGACCTGAAACATTAACTCATTTTCCTCTCTCCATGGATGCTGCCTGACCTGCTGCATGTTCCCAGCGACTTCTGTGTTCGTACGGAAAATTGGTGTTGATGGCTCAGCGAGCTAACCTTGTAAGTATTTGAGTCAGCAAATATGGACAATAATAATCCTTACATTTGGTATAGCTCCTTATCACGTCAGAAGGACATCTCAAAGAACTTCACAGGATTTACTGTGAAATGGAGTGACTGTATCTGTGGGCAAATGTGGTAGCACAATTGCACGTAGCAATGCCCCACAAACGGTTGTGAAATGAGTAACCAATTTTATTTGGGGGAATTTATTGGCCAGGACACTAGGAGAAACTCCCTTCTCTTTTCAAACTGTGCCATGGAATCCACCTTAACAGGAAGACGGGACCTCAGTTTAACATCTCATCCAAAGGATGGCACCTCCGACAATAGAACACCCTCCCCAGTGCTGCATTGGAGTATCAGCTTAGCCAATTTGAATTCCAGTCCCTACGTGGGACAAACATTTGATGGCTGGTTTTGATCCCTAGCTTGTGCTGGGTTAGCTAATGTCAGATAGGTCAAAATACCACCGACTCCAGTATCGTCAGAGAGAGGAAAATCCAGAGGTACTGCTCCCTATTGCTCTCCCTCTCTCTGCTGAAGGGATGCTCGAGTCAAGATTGGATTGTTCTATACCCTTTAAGAACCAATTAACTGGGAACCAATGTAAGGGGATCAGGAAGTATAAAGTAGGATGCAGGGGAACTAGCTGAAGGGGTTTTGTTTGTATTATTTGATTGTGTTTTGAGAGCTGAGAATAAAATAGTAATTTTATTTGTTCTAGAATAGAATAGAACAAATAAGATCAAGGCAATAAAAAATAATTCTGAGGTGGAATTCTGAGGTGGAATCCGGAGTGATTAATGAGTATAATATTGATGCAATAAACATCATTAAAAGAGTGCATACAGAAAAAGAAAGTGGATGATATCGCTATGGTGCATAGAAGAAAGAAAATGGTTAAGGTGCAAATTAGATACAGGAGCTCAGGCCAGTGTGATGCTAGTGCAAGATCTCATTGAAATGAGGTTGCTCAAAAGAATTTGGAGTGAAGATAGAAGACCACAAAACCACTTACCGGAGTATCCCCCAAGCAATTGTAGGGTGGAGCAGGAACGACAGACTAAAAAAAAATTTGGAAGATGACAGACAACACAAAGGTAGATAAGCACCTGGCAATTCTGGCCTATAGAAACAGGCAAAAAGACAATGAGGGACAATCGCAAATACTGATGACAAGATGGTTAAGAGATTTGTTATTCTCGGAAGAAAAAAAATTGAGACCGGAGGTAAAACACAAGAAAAATGGAGAGAAATCCAAAATTGAACCAGGAAAGGAGAAAACTTTTATAAAAGGAAGAGGATATGGTTTAGGAAGAAAAACCTAACAACAGAAGGTTGAACGAAAGGAGAAATTTGTGAGAAGGATAAAACCCCAAGATCATATTTAACTTAAAAATGATAAAGGAAAAATATATGGAAGAACGTCATGGGAAATACGCCAAAGAAGGAAGAAGGACAGAGGAAGAAAAAGAAGAGCAGAAGGAAGATCTGGGGTTGGCAGAAACATCGAGAACCATCAGGTCAGGAAGAGTAGTAAAACAAACGCGGAGATTAATTGAACAAAAATGAGACACAGAGAGGAAAAAAAGCCCAAAAAGGGAAGATTTTGGATACCCTTTAAGAAGAAATGACCAATGAACTGGGAACCAATGAAAGGGGATCAGGAAGTATAAAGCAGGATGCAGGGGAACTAACTGAAGGGGTTTTGGTTGTATTGTTGGACTGTGTTTTGAGAGCTGAGAATAAAATAGTGATTTCTGCATTTGTGTTGTGAGAAGATAACATGGATGGGGACTATTTCAAGTTAGGCTGTGATGTTCCTCTGTTTCAAACAGCTTGCTGTGTCTGAATAATAACCATTTGAATAAGGTACCAAAGGGGTAAAATGTGAAACTTGTTAAGTGTTTGATTATACCTTGAGACAGAAATTGTGGCCTTTCAGTGTTAAAATGTGCCCATTGATACCACTAGGTGGCGGCAGATTCCTCTCATCTTGCCTATATCAGGTTTCGCAGAGCATAGATGCCATAAATTGTCCAAATAAATGTCAATTGTATTGTTTTGCTGCATTCATACTGCACAGTTAGCAAACAAAAATCTAATTTCTGAAACATAACCCCCATTGTCTGAAACTAGGCTGCCCTTTTTATTAATCAAATTTGATAAAATTAGATCTCGTGCTCTACCCTTTAACTAGCTTCTAAAATATTTTCAACATTTAGAGCTTTATTTACGGTTACTCGAGAACCATAAATTCTGGTTTAACCAAGTATGTGCTGTTTATATGAACAGTTACTTGAGAACCGTTCATATAATGTGGAATCCTGTAGCTCAGTGGTTGGAGTACTCACCTCGCAAGTGAGGGAGCTGGGTTCAATTCCCGGCAAGGCGAAATGTTGGGCAAGCTTCCTTACACCACACGCCTTTGTTTACCTAGCAATAAGTAGGAACCTGGTTGTTAGTCGATTGGTGGATCTCTTTTCCAGGGGTAATAATTCCTCCAAAAAAAATAAGGATAATAAATCGGTCACTTCAATCCATTGTTTGTGGGACACTCCTGTGTGCAATTGGCTGCCGTGTTTTGCCCACAAAATATAGAGTCAATCCACTTTACAGTATATTCTGTGAAGCTCTTTGAGACATCTCGATGACGTGATAAGGCACTATATCAAATGCAAGGATTATTATTTATTATTATAAATGGTACATGCTTGGTTCAAACTAGTCCCAGTCCTCTCTCTGAGCTAAACGCTCTTAAGTATTCACTGAGAAGGGAATTACCTTGGTGATATGTGTAGTGGTTGTAGTGCTTGTAGTTTCTGAGGTGATAGTCTGAGCACTCATTAAAAATCCTGGATCACTGTCAGCACTGGGGTCCGACTGGAAAAGGAGATTAAATGAAAAGGAAAGGGAGAGAAAAGGGAGAAAGGAGCAAGGTGACATTAGTTTGTGTTCTTCCCTTCAGTAAACGAAGCCACTGTCAAAACCATTACAAACAAATACACTACAACAAAGAGAACGTGTATCTACACAAGTGAGCAATTGACAATGAGTTGGTATCTGTTCCCGAATGATAGCCTGTAATATATAGCTGTGCCAATACGTAAAAAGCAGTTTGGTAGGTCTTAACCATTTTTTTGAAAATTAGCAGAATAATTTTCAAGTCTAAAAACAAATTATTATTTTAAATAAACCGCATCTTATTTGTGTTTTGAAGCACCAGTTGTACAAGCACCCAGGAGCCTTTTTGTAGAGAGAAGCACATAAGAAAAGTTTCATGAGGGCAAAACAAAATAAGGGAAAAATATCAACATGGGACTATTTCCAAGGACAAAATTCTTTAGACTTGTGAATTGAATAGTATTTGTTCAGGATTTACTTCCAGATGGCTCAGTTGGTAAAAGTTATTGCCTACTGTGAAATTCAACTAGATAGTTCTGAGATGTCCCTGGTTTCCTTCTTGATTTCTGCATTTAGTTGATCTCAGACTTTGCTACAGTTATCCTCAATACCTTTGGTCCAGGTATGAGACAAATAGTCCCACTTCTGATTTCTAACCAGGAGATTCTGGTAAAGAAATACCTTTGTGTGGATGTCAAATGAGAGCCGGATCAGGCTTGGTTAAGATGTTCCCCCCCCACCCACTCCCCGCATGGTTGTGAAGTCTACAACTGAAGTCCTGCCACTCACATGTGAAGGAAGTCCACTTGTGCTAGATGTTGGAGAGCTCTCACTACTTTCACTACAGGGAACGTTAATATGGGATGAGGCAGTATCTTCGAGAAGGGGAACAAATTAAATGAGGAACAGAAGACAAGGGACACAAGACCTCATCCTAAAGTAAAAGGTTACCTTTGCTGATTCATAGGTGATTGTTTTCGTCTCTGTGTGAACTACTGGCACTTCCTTGGTAGAGATTTCTTTCCCGTCCTCCTGCGTCAGACTTCTAAAGCTTACAGTTTCTGTTTTCACAACAGGTGGCTATGTGCAAGAAGAAAAGGAAACCTCAAATATTTGTCAGAGCAAAGCATTACGACATCCAATGATAAATTTCTCCATCATTCGAACATTTTTTTTTAATACATACAACGCAAACGAGTTTGTTTTTCACTTCCTTTTCCTTCCTCATTCTGGGGGAGAAATTCCACCTCGGTCTAGGTTTACTCTATTTTTCTTAACATTTTAAAGTGTAGAGAATTTGGAAAATTCTTAAATTAAGTCCTAACTTTGAAGTTGGTCTTCTTTACGTCTTAACGAATTTATAGAAAAAAAAGCATTAAAAAATTAAGACTGTTCAAAAAAAGTCAAATTTTAGATGCTCCGAAATGCTAAAAATACAGAATAAATCTAGACTCTGTTGAATATCTATCGTCCTAATACTTTATAATATGTTTTAAATATGTAACAAAAGGTAATTGAGTACAAAAAAATAAATAATAAGCAGAGTGGATGTTAGATCAAAGCAATGCAAGCATCCAGGAAGAGCTTGGTTAAGAAGCTGCAGCATCACTAAAGTTGAATAATGAATTTGTTGAAATAACATGCAGTATTTACTATACTACTGTGCAGTAACAAGTGGGCAAAATAATGCTTCAAATTTCTAAATTTATTTTTGGAACTAGACAATGGCAAATATTAATTACACCTCTTGGAATATTCCGAGTTTAGAAAGTTGGGGGGTAATCTGATTGAGGTTTTTTAAAATAATAAAGGGATTTGATAGGGTAGATACAGAGAAACTATTTCCTGGGGTGGGGGAATCCAGAACAAGGAAGCATAGTCTTAAAATTAAAGCTAGGTCATTTAGGAGTGAAATCAGGAGGCAGTTTTCCACCCAAGCAGTAGTGGAAATCTGGAACTCTCCCCCAAAAGGTCATGGATTCTGGATCCATTCACATTTTTAAGACTGAGGTGGATAGATATTTGTTAGGTCAAGGGTGGGTAATTGAAGTTGAGGTACAGATCTTATAGAATGGTGGAACAGGCTCGAATGGCTTACTCCTGTTTCTATGTTAAAACATACATTTTGGATTTTATTTTCTGATATTTACATTTCTTTTCGCTTGGATGAGCTCAGAAATACATGGGGATGGGTAAGGAATGGATTAAATAAGAGGGTAACTGATGGGGAGAGTTGGTAAGAAGGGCATTTACCTCAAACTGAGGTTTTTCATCAGACTTCTCTGAAGTTTGCCCCTTTGTGTCTGGCTGGTCCTCCTGCCCCCAAGCAGAAGCAACGCCCTTTATGCTCTCAGTGACCAGCTGATCCACTTTGGGACTTCCCATCTCTTTCTCGTCCACTGTGGTTTCTACCATCATCACGGAACTCAGTCCCCCTTTGTCATCAAAAGAGGGAGCTGTGCTCTCCTCTGCTATCGCAGCTATTGCAGCCCTCTCAACTCCTGCCAGCGTTGCACACAATGCAGAAGCATCGCCACTTGCATGCACATCCACCACACGAGTCTCCTGCATCACCATTGTCTCCTGCACAAGCGTCTTCTGCTCGTGCAACTCTTGTGTCATCTCTTTAGAACTTTCTTCCCATTCCGTCTTCATTTCAGATTTCTAGCAAAGGAAAACGGGAGCCATGTTATGACGACGCAAAATTATATCTAACGATTTCGCTACAATGACTGCATATAATGAACGAATACAATACTATGACTCACATTAGGTCGTCTAAACAATGCATACCAAGGTTGTGCAAAAAAAACACACGCTTTTCCCTCAACATTGAAAATCTACACAAGCATTATACATTGCACTCAAAATGCAGTCAGTGAGACACTGGACCCAGCTAACCACATTATAATGGTATTTCCGTCTGTACAAAATAGAAAATAAAAACAGAGGATGGAATTAGTTCTGTGGGCGATGGGTTACAGACTGGCTGAAAGCCCAGCCTCTGATGGTATGGTGGATAGGATGAGGGACATGAAGCAGCCCAGCGATGATATTAATCACCTCCTAACTTATAACTTATACCCTATCCTCCAAAACTCTTGCACTTACTGGCTGCGTTGAATCGTGTGAAATGATGCGATCTGTCGACGCATGGAACTTACTTGGCTGCACTGAGTTGTGGAAAACTTAGTCTTGATCCATTGCCACATACGCAGAAGAACATTTCTCACGATTCAACGCGATTCCAATGCTTTCCAGTAACTGCGCATGCAGTGATGGGTCAAGACATACTTCAGTGGGAAACATAGTCTTGACCCATCACCGGATGTATGCACTCTTACCAGCTGCAGTGACGAACTACTGTATACGCAACTTAACGGCTGCATTGAATTACACAGGCGGCATTTAGATTATTGATTAAATCAGATTTTATACAAATTATACAGTTTGCCTGCAACTCGGACTTCACCTAAGTCAAATTAAATGTTATAGTCTTGACTGATATGACTTACTTAAGTTTTATTGTAAAATCCTTGGAGAATGTCCAGTGACCTTTCACCAGACTACTATCTGGGTTGAAGGGTTTTAACTATGATGAGAGATTATATATCTTAGAACAGAGGGGCAATTTCATTTGAGTTAATCAAAATAATGAAAGGAATTGGTTGGATGGATGACAACCGTTTCCTTTGGTAGAGGGATCCATTACGAGGGTGTGTAAGATTAAAATAATTGCAAAGATTGATTAGAACAAAGGTCAAAGGAGCATTTCTTCACACAGATGGTTGTGAAGATATTAAATGCTCTGTCCCAGAATAAAGATTGCAAATTGACATCAGTTAAAGTGATAGACGGATGCTTGGTTCGTAAAGTTATGGTGCAAGGGCAACGCACTGGGAATGAAAGATAAGTCAAAATTTAATAAACTGATAAGGCAGCCTAGAAGGCCTAAATGGCCTCCTTCTGTACCTGTTTACCTATGTTCCTAACCTGCACCCAACTCTATTCACCTACCTGATGAGAAGTCTGCATCTGATTGTGTACCCCACCTGCACAACTGCTCCAAGCAATCGAATAAATCCAGAGACTTCATTACCCAATCCAAATTTACAATATAAACTTTAAGACGAGGACAAATTAAGACAAAAACAGATAGCTCTATAACCGATCACGGAAAGTAGAATGGGAGTCATACCATAGGTAAATATCTAGCAGAGGCCAGACACTTCCCCTGGGAATGTAAGGTCAGCTCAAGTCACTTTCATATACCTCGTTGTGATTGGTTCCAAAGCAGCTTTGGCTTAGTTCCACACGCATTTCCTCACCTGCCTGCCTTTAGAAGAGCAACAGGAGCCGATGGTGTATGTGTGATAAAGGAAGAAGCAACGTGGCAAGACACAATGCTACCTTTGCCAACCTCCACTCAACATGTTAGCCCTGGTAGATTTAAGGTATGATGTGCAGCACCACATATTACAGGCAGAATATGTTAAGTTAAGAAAGATAAGCTATAGTTAAGAAAACGAAAAAGAAAACACTGGGGTGAGGGCCCACTTCGATGCAGTTACTTTCTGGAGAGAATGAAAAGCCACCTGAGCCCAGCTGAATGATGAAGCCGCGGCCCAATCCTTTGAATCGATTTGTTTTCGTGTGGACTCTATTAGATTGGAGACGTCTATGTTTTTTGAGGTTACTTCAGAGCCAGACTGTTTTGTCTGCGTAGACACAGAAAGTCAACATATAAAGGTAAACACACGCACAACATTACGTTAATGGTGGACAGACCAACAGATAGATAGATAAAAGCCGATAAAATACACAGATTGAGAAGTGACACAATAAGCAACAGGACGTGTGAGGTGGTGGGGGGGGGGGGGGGGCAGACAGAGAGCAAAATAAAAGTCTGGAAAAATACAGAAGCAGAAGAATGAAAGAGGTTAATATGTGAAAAGGAACATCTCAGTGATCTTATTAGGTCCAGAAGATGCACAAAAGAATCTCTAACGAATTCAAGCTTGTGCAATCAAGCTGCCAGGGTGAGAGGATGGCATTTCCATTCAGTGTAACGCACAAGGGATTCAGCCTGCCAATGTCAGAATTTTAAGGGGATTGTGCCTAATTTAACAGCCAGGAATGCTTGAAATAAAAATTACAAAACTCTCTGGGAAGGGGAGGAAGGACCAGTGGCTGGATCCAAGCAAAACAACAAGTAAATGTAATGTAACTTTAGCCGTTGAAGCACACTGAAGCCAAGTGTTGCCTGAAAATCATGCGGCATTCTTTGCACTCGGGCAGTCAAGTCAAAGGCAACAGTTACCAATATTTTTGATCCTGGTGACTCAGTAAAATAGTGAGCAGTAGCAATGGTAAACACGGGTTCCTCGCTATGTTTCCATTTGGCCATCGAGAACTCATCCATCAGTATGGTTGGCTCCACATTGTGACCTTCAAATCCTCTTTGTCCAGGAGCTTCTTTAGGTCTCATGCTACCTTGAGCACCATCTCTCTTTGAGTCTCCCTTCCTTGAACCGTGAGATTCTTCCGATACGAAAAGTACATTTTTCTGCTGTTTGACAGATGACATAGAATCTACCAATGTTTATTTTTATTCTGATCAATATATGCTTGTCTGTCTATCATTAGCTCTCCTTGTCGCTGGACTGATCAAGTCAAATTGCTTGGGCATCCTGTTTTGATATTCCTCTCTTCCTTCCTCCCAATTAGAATACCCTATATCTGCAATATATTAGAAGCTAATTTACATTATTCCTTAACCAGATTGCTTAAAAGAAATCAGAAGCATGCATGCGGAAATTCCTTTAAGAAAGGCTGTTAAGGAAAACTGCAGATTGGGATACCAATTGGCTTTTCTAGAGCACTGACTTTTTCCATTTTGTGTGTTTTTTTTCTAAAAATAAACCAAAGTTAGCTTTAAACTATATCACAAGTTTATGCTTCTGAAATTCTATAAGTCCCCTTTGGTAGACATATAGCCCTTGTCATAACCAACTCCTCTACGTTTAAAATACAAATTTGCATCAGGATCTGTGCATGGTTGGACGGAGGTATTTTCAGAGAAGTGAAGCCTTTAGCAAACATCCCATCCCTTCCATAGTTTTAAAAGCCTTCGTTTCTGCTACTCAAGGGATTTTATGCACAATGCAATCAAAGGCTTTAACTGCATAAGCTTTTGGTGCTGGCTCTGATTTTATATTTTACCTCAAAATGGTAGCAAGAAAATATTCAGGGCATATTTTCATCATTCATTTGTAATAACAGCAGTAAGAGTTCTGGGACTCCTCTGTATTCACTATTTCAAAAGGTGTGGATGGATTAAAGTTGCATAGGGAATGGTAATTTCCTCACAGCACATCCCTTCATGGAATCAAGTTTATAAATATTTGAATAGGTACAATATAAAGATGATACAAATAAAGCAGGGAATTTCAGATTGGAGCTCCAGTGGTTGAGTTTGCACTAACATAGCCCTAATGGGCCAAATTGCTTGCTTCTGTGCTGCATTTTGGATGATTCTACGAGTATCTGAGATTGACTGCAGGCTCTTTTCTTTTTTTTCCCGTAGGGTTGAACTGAATGCTTAGTGAAACCGAAATCACACTGCCTACAACCAGTCTCTGGACAGAACCTAAAACAATCAATGTCACTGGGGCTGAAATGGCATTCACTGGGAAAATGGCAATTTTCTCGGACTCAGCTAAAGGGGCAATGTAAACTGAAAGCTTGCCGTTTTCCCGTTAGACTACTTAGGTTATGTAACTGGTTCATAACAGTTTTAATTTAACACATTTAATATTTAAGTAGGTAAATTATGTCAAGACTGAAGGTAAAGCACAGGCATACGATCTGAACAAATCACTTGATTTTTAAGTTAATATTCTGGCATAACAAAGGCTGAAAAAGTGAATAAACTAAACCATTAAAATCATAGCGTGAAATAGGTAACGGCAACCTATTATGCTGTAGACTATTAACATTTTTTTAAAGCCAAACAACAACATTCATGCATTATATAATGTCAAAGAAACATATGAAAGTGCACCACCAGTTGGCTACAGATTTTAAATAAAAGAAAATGTTGCTTTACAATATTAGTTAGTTTGTGTTTGGCTGAGTCCTCAAAGAACTCAGAGTCTGGGAGAGTCTGGGACGCTGTGTATATCAGACCACAACATTCCACCCAACTCATTATTTGAATGCTTGAGCCTAATTGTAAAGCACGTCTTTGCTACTCGTCTGAAAGATAGATCGTGCAAACTTCAATTCAACTCTGTAGTCAAAAAGTATACGAAAATATAAGAAATATTATTTGTTAAAAGTAATAACCTCTGGGGACGATAGGACAATCTGCTTGACCACAGTTTCATGTGACACCAGGGTGCTCTGACCACCAGGTGTCAGCTCCTCTTCCACCTTCTTCTCCTTTTCTCCGGACTAATAAGAAAAATCAACAGCATATAAAAGCAGGGTTAAGCAATAAGTAAATTGTGTCCTACATTTTACCTCTCCTGTTTCAAGAACACAACATCCCAGAGTCCTTCCGACTCATCCCCACTCAAAGCCTGCTCAGGACTTACCTCTTTGACTACTTTGGGTCATCAACCCCCTCCCACTCCCTACACTCTTCAGCTTCATCTAAGTCATTTCATACACTTTAATGGACTGTGTGCAGTTATTTGATCTTGTTTCCACTTCCAGCAGTAGCAATGCAGCTGCAACATACACCAGCAGTTAACCACACTTTGCACTTATCCTCAATTAAGGACCATCTGTGGATCTTTTTATCTTTTTACACAAGAAAGATGTGTGTGAGACTGGAGCACTTGTGGCCACAATCACACCAGTGAAGTCACTTTGGCGGCACTCAAAGAAGTGTTTTATTTGCACACAGATCAAAAGAAACTATCACCGAATGCATAGTACCAAAAACAAGATAGTCTTCAAAACATGTTGAATACAATACCTTTGCTGCTTTTTCGTCCGCTTTCACCACTAAGATACTCAGACCAGGAGCACTATGTTTATCTTCGGGTTTGCTTTGTAGCGCTCCTTCAGCTTCCTCTTTGGTCGGCTGCCAGTACAAAACAATTCAGTGACTAACGTATAAATTAACTCTCCAAATTCTGTTAAACTTAAACCCTGAGAAAAGGGTCAGAACATTCACAGTACACAGTTATGTTACTTCTCAATGCTTATTTAACACCACAGAGCATAACACACCAAAAATAAAGTGGGGAGTAATGATAACGATTTACATTTATATAATGTCCTTTATGTAGGACAATACCACAGTGCTTCATTGTCACGGTGTCGGGCACTGAGCAAGGGAGGGGGGCAGAGGAAGGGAGTTCCAAAGGGTTTAGGCGTAGTTGCTGAAGGCTCACCTCGCCAATAGCGAAAGGGACAGGCAACAGGCCTGAATTAGAGGTGGTGACCAGAGCAGGGGAGTGGGGAGGATAGGATCAAAGAAATAGGGAAGTGTTGGGGCAGGAAGAGGTTTATACTTCAGTGTAAGGAGCTTGAAATCGATCTATTTGGGAGACCACTGGGCGTTAGTTGTAACAACTTATTCAATACACTGATATCCCCTTTTAAGGTATGTAGACTTTGCAATTGATATGTCTCAAAGTGCTTCAGAGTTTTCAGAAAATTGTAGCGACTGTGTAATTGTAGGCAAAATTTAAGACAGAGCTATTTATTTTATTGGCTGCATAAGGGTTGACGCATGGGGTCAGTGACTGAATAATCTCCAGCTGATGGCCTCACACCTGTGCACGCAGCATTGAGATGTAAAGAATGGCAACCCCCTCCCTCTCATCCCAACATGAATTACCTCCTCAGGCACAAGGGGTTCAATCATAGGCAGATCCTCCGTCTTCGAAAAGGATCGCACAGGGGAGGCAGATAGCCTTTTTTCCCATTCGTCGGGTCCGCTTTCTGATGTAGACTCCAGGAATGTCCGTTTCATCTCAGTTATGTTGGCATGGTGCTTAACCACCTCGTCCTGAGTTTTGTCAAAGTCCTTTCCATTGAAAAGGAAAATGAACCCACGTCATTCCAAGGCTACAACGTTCTAACAAAGTGATTACGCCATCCGCTTTAAAAAGTAGTGCACAATAAAACAAAGTTCTTGAACTTCAGTTGAGTAACATTTGCTTTACGATTCTACATTTAAAAGCTAATGGTACTAACTGAAAACCTATTAAAAGTATAGGTTGTTAGAATATAGAATATAAACCAGGTTGTCTTAGGTTTAGAGAATTTGTCGAACAATGTGATCAGGTTGATCAAAAGCATCTTAAAAATCTGCACTAACAGTTTCCCCCAATGACTTAGTGTCCTAGTGCTAGTTGGAGTATTTTGCGTTGAGTTAGTTGATCTCAGCATTTGGGTGCTACTGTTGACTTCATTGCTTTTGGTTTAGGGGAAAAAAAATCAACCACAGTTCCTGGACATTTTTATCAAGTATCCATATTTGTAGACACTGTACAACTGGGTCGCAGAAGGTCCCTGGGACACTAAAGGAACCTCAATTCTAAACATACATGCTCAAATATAGTTTAGTTGGTCTTAGCATTTGAAAATGAGAACTCAATAAGTAAACGACCACCACATTCAATATTTCAAAACATATACTGTGTTATCCCCAAATTATGCCATTTATCATGTTTCTGAACTGAAATGAAGTAAGTGAATTAGCCTTGCATTAAATTCTTCAAACAAGTGGTCTGTATATGTTAAGGAAAGGTCAGTGAATACACTCAATTGTTAAAAATGACTGTCCAAACGCCAAGAACAGAAATAACTAACATGATCTTTGCTTTTAATGGGGGCCCTTAAGAAAATACATTCCAGCATTAAACCACCTCACAATAGATGGCATTAACAACACACAGCGATGCTTTATTTTAGTGCTGTATAATGTATGAAGGAACATGTGATTTCCCTCAAGAAGATTGTTACTGCAGTTGGGTCAGGACAGTTCCACGTCATGCAGTCAATAACACAGCACCACAAGTCAAAGGAATCAGCACTACACAGTGAGGCGCTCAATTCACACAAAGATACAAACCTCTAACATAAGATTACCATGTTTGACATATACATTTTCACCTTTGATTTGCTTTACAAGACTATTCTGTAAAAAAAATACAAAAAACATGGAAAAAGCAGCAAAAGAACACAGAAATGAATATCTGAAATAAAATGCCTTAAAAGAGAAACAAATGGATGTAAGGTAATATTATTTAAATAAAAGAAGCAAAGCATGAGAGCATGGAGGAAATCATCAAAAAACAAAGACGAATGGAGAGGAATAATTCAGACCAAGAGACTACACAATCTATTCTTTTACATGAACATTTTCTGGTACCTGTGACTTGGATTCCATTTCATCCTCTTGATCCGACTGGTAGCATAAATGAGGTGTAAAAAGCAAAGCTTTAGCAAAACCTAATCATGGGCAGGCACTGTGTCAACACACAGATTTACAGATACATGAAGTCCCCACTCCCTCTGCCAAAGTTACAATTAAATCATGGTTCAAATGTTTTACAAAACATTTGGTGCAAGAGCATTGGATTCCCCCACATAAACAGACTGGTCGCTTGACTCAAGAGAGTGACAAAACTACAGAATCCTTTTAATAAAGCTCAAAAACAGATCTTATTGTAATCATTGTGTCAGACTTGTAGTCTACAGTCATTTCGGACATTGCCAACTCATGAATGCATTTGGATAAATCGTCTATCTCACAACTACCACAGCACATAATACATTGTTCAGGACATTTCAGACCGTACACCCAGCTGCAACTTCATATTCTGTAAATGTGCGTGTGTTGGAGGAGAGGAGGAATAGGAAAGAAAGAGGATGTGTGGGAGGGATATATAAATGAAACATCTGTATGTGATCGGGACACAAATGAGCAGCACATTGTTTGAATAGTGTCAAATCCATAACTGAATGAGATATTCTAGAACTAATACTCATTCCAGAAAAGTAAGCTACAAAGCAAATAAAGGCTTGCCCTCAGCAAACTCGAAAATAGAGACCGGTGTCAATATAAAGTTTTCTGTAACAGTGCAATGTGAGAAACTGAGACAACAGTTTTCCAACTGGTCAAATCACTAAAAGTAGCACAAAGAGAAACATTTGAACTGAATGCATCCTCCAAATAATTCAGTATAATATAGTCCTTTGGCTAAACTGCTGCAGTAGTCAATGCTTTTGAAATGAATTTTAAGTAACCTCTTTATAATCAAACATAGTATAAATTTAAAACTTTTTCTTTTAAAACTGAAGCTTTCTGTTTCCAGCCATCATCCTGTCAATTTTAGCAATGTAAAGTCAACCAACTTGTGGCTTGTGGTAAACTCAGATAACTGAGAAGGTAAATCACTGGCAAACAGTTCACCACAATAAAATGTAAACATGGTTTAACAACAAAACAAAGTGCAGAAATTCAGCTGGGAGGATATGGAACAGCTGTGGCCAACCTTTGGCCCACGGAGTCTTCAAAATGCGGTCCCCAAACATTTGCACGAGTCAAGGTAAGTCTGTGTTCAATCGGGAGTGTGTTTTCAGTTTTTTATAAAAATTTAATCAACAAAATGTATTTTGTTGGCCGACTACAAAGGTTGGCCACCACTGACAGAGCAAGCAAATGGACATTGCAGCTTCTGTACATTTAAGGGCAAAAACAGGAAACCATATGGCATCAGTAGCACAGAAAACTCAGGTCATAATGTTGTTGCGTATTGTCTGTGTGTGTATGCACTGAAACAGTGTTTGCTCTGTGCGCATATACTGAAAGTGTGTACTGCTGTGCATGCATATAGTGAGAGGTTACTCTACACTAGTAACTACTGTTGTTTGGGAAAGTGTTGTGAAACATTAATCTTCTGACAATAAAGTTTCTTACATTCAATCTAATTAGAACTGGTCTTGTGGATGAATCATTGGGGACAATTTTAACCTGCATCTTGATTTATTCTTTATAGCATTTCAGAGCCTCCAGAATTTGGCAGATTGTTGAATTCAGTCTCAACATTTTTTTGTGTGTATTTCTTTTATTTAAAAATTACAGTAAACAGGCTTCAAAATTAAGTCTGTTTTTAAGAATTTGCTAAATTTCTGGACGCTTTGAAATGCTGCATAAATAGAGTAAACCTAGACACGAATGGAATTTCTCTCCGTAGGAACACCCAAATAAAAAAGATTGAAACAAATTGAAACAAAAATAGATGAGATCAATAGCACATTGCAAGGAGACCCAATCTACCACACAAAAGTGTGGTAGATTAGGTCTCCTTGCAACGTGCTATTGATCTTGTCTGCGTGCATTGCAGTTTTCTTGATTTTTTTGAGCCAGTTCTTCTGCTGATCTTGTTGGGCAGGGCTGGCCTTTTCTCATTCTAGTTCAGAATAAGGCCTCTTGTTATTTTGTTTCTGCCAACGAGAAACGTGAATGACTTCAAATTGTCTGGCATCCCGCGGCAATATTAGTGCCAGACTAAAAACAGCATTGGTTTCAAGCCCTCAGACAAACAAGTGAGATGAAGGTCATTTCCATGGATGTACACAGGCTGGTGGAATGTACAAACCTCCGCAGTGGTTTCCCCATCAGCAGGGCCAGTAGTGTCAGTCTGCTCACTGTCGGTCTATATTGTGCCAAGATTCCAGTAGGAAAGCAGGAATAAAAAATACATCAGTCTCATCAGAAACACAAGCTTGATATTCAAAATGCCCCATTCAGATTGTTCATTGTGCCTTAAGTTCAATGAAAAAAAATGTTTTCCATTTTAAATGAGCATGAAACCAATAAGAAACTAAAAAAAGGCTCTGAGGAATAGATTGTAGTCTCTTGGTCTACAGCAAAATGGAAATAGCAAGTTACAAAAGTTTGAATGGAAATTATTTTCAAAAAAATCATTGTTTAAAGGCCAAACCAAAACTACATTTGAGATCTACTGTTATTTTATTTGATAGCCAAAGAGTCACATTTATTAACAAACACACAGATGATGCTGCACCGAGAAACATCAATTTAAGCCCATTCCAAGTGTGCATGCAGTGAAGGTCGCCTTTGCAAAGAACGCAAAAGGTTGATAAGCTCCATATAATTTTGGTTGATGGCTGGACTAAGCACACAGTACTACTTTATCAATAATGTATCTCAAATGAGTATGTTCTGAGGTGCAGCCAACACACAGCACACACAGAAAAAGGCACAGTTTTTCTGTCTGCTGCAAACATAGTCGTGGCAAGAGCTAGTTTCACATGCAATCATAAGACCTTATACTGCAGAAGTGTATAAAATTTTAAATGGGATTAAAAAAGTAAACCTAGAACAATACTTTCAGATGCAACAACTGCAGTAGAATAAGAGGTTATAGACTTATAGTTGTGAAGGGCAATTTCAGGACAGATAACAGGATTTCTGTACGGAGAGGATAATCAAACAAATGATTGAAGCTGCAATGGGAAGATGTTACCTTCAGTATTCTGCAAAGATGAAATCAAATGCTCCGAAGGGCACTCTTAATCTTAACCAATCTTGTGGTCGTGTGCAGTTTTAATGTAGATTTAATAAACTGACAAATTGATTTATTACCTAAAAAGCTAAACATGGATATCTAGTCAAATCTAAGTTTAGAAGAAAGCAAGTTCTTATTTAGGGATGAGAGGAGGGGGAAGTGAATGCGACTGGTTGCACAGTTTTTGAGATACAAGATTGATTTGATATGGTTGCAACTTAAATGGATTACGATTTTGTAATTAGCCATTTATTTGTTTTAAAATAACAATGCAGCTCATTTACACCAGAAGCAAAGGTTACCGAAGAATTATTTAGTCACTGTAAAAGTAGTCTGACTTTCAGGCCCTCATATGCACCAATCCTTTCTTTTTTATTCATGTATTTGCATAAATAAGGGTCTGGTCGCATTCATATTAAGACAATTATTCTTGTACAGTCAAGTGTACAGCAGTCATTAAATAGCTTCATTCCCAATTCTGAGGTCAATAACCTCACTAGATTATGCCCTAAACACTGTGTTGCTCTACGCCCTTCCATTTAGACATAAGCTGCTCAAAACATTCCTCTGAAGAGCAAAGACCACTGAGTTGCTGTTATTTTATTAGTTGACTGCATATTTATATATTTGCCTACATTTTTTGAAATCTGCTCCCCTTCTGTATATATAAAAAACTTCATATGTTCATGCACAGGAAAAAACAAAATGTAATAGAATCCCTTCCCCCTGATTATGTAGCACTTTTAAATTCAAGAAGTTAACAGCTCAATATGACTTCCTCAAACGGTGAGATAATTACCCCAGAGGCTATTCACATGACAGTGAGAGATACTGATCCTTCCTCTGTCAGTGTATGTATATACTGTGCACTCCTCAAATACCTTTTTGTATAATAATTACTGTTTAGGGAGTTTTAATCCAGAAAATTACTTGCAACATAGTGTACTCTAAGACTAGGGGACATGGTCTACATCAACACTAGATAGCCACAGGAACAGCGAAAGGAAAATCTTGAAGAATTTTAACACCCAGGAAGTTGTTGAGATGTGGAATGCCAGTTGAGTAGGGTGGTGGTGGAGTCCATTCTAGCTCTCAAGAGGGAAATAATAATAATAATAATCGTGGCATTTGATATAGCACCTTATCACGTCTTCAAGACGTCTCAAAGTGCTTCACAGAATATACTGTAAAGTGAATTGACTGTATACTCTGTGGACGAAACGCGACAAATTGCACACAGGAGTGTCCCACAACCAGTCATGGATTGAGTGACCAATTTTTTTTTTTTTTTTTTTTTGAATGGATTATTACCCCCGGAAAAGCGATCTGCCAAACGACTAACAACCAGGTTCCTACTTACTGTGGATAAACAGGGGCGTGTGGAGTAAAGAAACTTGCCTAACGTTTCACCGTGCCTGGGAATCAAACTCGGGTCTCTTGCTTGCAAGGCAATAATATACAATAAATAAGTAGACAATATACGGAAGAGAGGGGCTTGAAGGGCTATGGGGATAAGGCGGAGCGATGGGAATAAATTGCTCCTTGCTCTGATGAGGGCTTGATGATCTAAATGGCCTTCTTCTGCGCTGTAGATTTCTACGTAACAAAGTATCCTAAAGAGCTTGCTCTTTCACTCTTGCTGCTTACAGTGAACCAGTCAGCACACTCACCAGCACCACACTGAAGGTTTATTGTGGTGTGCATGTGTGTGTGTAGGGGGTTGCCGGGTCCTTCATCATCTTTCTCTTCCAGGTTTCTCCCCTTCTCTTTCACTGAAGATGCTTGGCAGGTTTTAAACAGATTATTGTTCCAAAGACATCTGTGATACCTCAGTTGAGTGGGCATGATTCATCATCAGCTTAAACAGTGAATGCTAACAGATTATTCAACCACTGGCAATCAAAGATGAACCTCACTTCCATAAATACGTACCTTCAGCAAAAGTCTCTGGATTAGGGGAACTTGGGCTAAATTTTCCCTCTCTAACCCAGGGCCACCAAAGTCAACTGCAGCAACTGAGATCATCTGAGATCAGCTCATTCAGCATAAGCTGACTGTATGGCCTGGTGCTGCTTGTAGCCATTAAGGAGCCCACAATAAAGGTTTAAAACATCGGGCCTCATCCTTTATATAAACATTGTTTGAAGAATATGAAAAGTCAGCAACTGTGGATAGGAGCTATTTTGATAAACTTTGACCAAATATAGAAATGTATATTAAGCTTTTTTTAAATGGACTACAATAAGTGGGGTGAAAAGTTCTGCGATATCAAATTTACAAGAGATATGAGACGTGTGAAGATCATCCATTCCTTTAGGGAAAACAAAACAAAACTGAAAATGTCTACATTGAAGGCCTAGAAATTGCAATAGGTGCCATTCTGATTTACATTCCTAAATGTGCCAACGTACCAATTATGATGCAGTCAGACCCTCATTCGTTAAAACAGTTAGTACATGCAATGTGGACCAAAACAATGACTACAATCCTAATCCTTCAGATTTGCAAAAAAAAACACAAGAGCATGCACTTTACAACCAGCAAACTCTGCATGACCTCAAATATGGTTTAAGATTAGACACAAAGTTTTCAAATACAAAACTGGAGCAAAGTAATTCCTTCGTAAAAGCTGCCTTTCTCTATGCCCTTGCTTTCGTGCCTGTAATGGGCATAGTGTACCATTCACCTGGAACATCATCATTTATCAACTACAAATGGAGAACATGTGATGGTTCGTCAAAAAAATACAACTGTAGAGCTTTTTCCCTACCCGAACTACCAGAAATCAAAGTAAACAACTAAATAAAGTCACATTTAGAGTAACTCATGTCAACACTTCCTGGAGACCAAAACCACAAAAAACCACGGTAACTTTAAACTCTATGTTAAACGGAAATTCACAAAAAAGATAAGCAATCTTAATGGGAATTCATGCATTTTGGATTGAGGATGTTAAAAAAAATTTAATATGGGACATTTGCGTCATGTTTTTTAATAAAATGACAAATTGGCTCCTGGCATTCGGTATTTGTGTTCAAATTGAGCCATCTATTGAACAGAACACTAGGTTCATTGAAGAACAAATGGTTTGCTTAATATTAATGAGGCTGTAGCTATCCCATATGAGAAAAACAAACCCGAATGATTGTCAAATGGTGCTTGGCAACCGCTAGCATGGCTCATTTGAACAACCCCATTCAATACAGGAATGTACATCCATAAAGTAGCATGTATGTATCATGATCCCAATTACTTCACATTTTCCAAACATCGTTATTGAATAGTTCCATTGCTCTCAAATAATACAAACCAGTTTTCAGTCCCTGGCTTCCCCATACAAGAAAACTTTTTGTCTAATCTGATGAGTCAAGTTACAGTTATGTCTCTGCGGAACACAACTTTAGCAGCACGAAGAGGCAGCAATGAGGTTCTGAAACTAGGACGACTGTTGCAACATTGTACAATGTGCAAGACGCTCAAGCACTGAACACGTATAAAGAGCTGTGTTCTAGGCCGAGGTACACACCTCTTCCTCTGAACTGTCACTCAGGTCATTGTCAAGTGAAGCGCTCAAGGAAGTTGCCTTGGGCTCCAGGTAGCAGAGGCTCATAGCAAGAGGGAAAGAGAGAGTGAGGGCATAGGAGACTGAGAAAGAGGCTGAAAGCAGGAAGAAGAAAATGAAAAGAAAGCAGGGAACAAGGGATGGGGAACGGATAGGGAGGTAATGCTGCAGACTCTCAGGCAAGAAGCTGATATCTGAGAAGCTGGGGAATGAAAGGTAGCCGTCATCATCCAGCACAGAGAATGATGCTGGGAGATGCAAGGAGAATGAAAACAAGGTTCCTTCTTTTCGAGACTTAACCTTACAACTGGAGCTGAGCTCGTGGTCCTCTGCATAGTTCAGTGCTTTCTTATCAGTAGCCTTTGAAGGATCAATGTCAGGCAACAGACATAATGCTTTGCTGGAGTCTTCAGCTTGAAGAGGACCAGATTTTAAAACATTCTCCGTACATCTCCTGCGAACCCTCGCTGGCAACACTGGAGAATCATAGTGCGATGGCAGAGAGTAAGGAGTAGAGTGAAGTGAATCTGCACCAAAGAATGCAGTCTGTGAGAGTTGCGGG